TATATATATATATATATATATATATATTATAGCATGGGAAACGGCCTCCCTGTATGGCAGTATCAGGCCCATCTACCCCCGACTTAGTGTCCTTGTCTAGGAAAATCCTTGAGTCATACCGTAGGCGTCATGAATATCCTGGCGCTGCAACAAAAGGACAGTTGGCAATATCCGTTGGCCTCCGGAGATGGACGTAATCACTGGAGAGTCTCAGTACCGTTCCCGCTAGATTTAAATGGACCCAACCACGAGTACAGGCGCAGTGTTGCTAATATTGGAAACCTGAGATCAACGAACCAGCTGCCATTGCTAAGACATGTTCGCTTCCCTCGTCCACTCCACAGCGAGCTGCATCACCAAATGCATATCTTTCCGTTCGAATCTCCTGATTCTGGCCAATTTATCCGCACAGGCTTTACACAATTGTCCTGAAACTACAATTGCATAAGCAGAGCAGTACGGATCCAACACTGTTTCTTGGTCAAAACAAACATCCCGGCTAAGAGACAATGAATGGCATTGATGGCAAGCCTCATTACTGGACTCTGCACATGCTCCCTGGTCGTTTTCAGATTAAAAGTGTGATTTCAGGTGGCCACATTTATCTCGCTTCAACATCAGCCCCACTTTTGCCTACAGGAAACAAGCTCACCTGTGTTCGTGCGGAACGCAAGTGGAGTTGGCTCTGTTCACCCCTGTTTTGGAGCATACCGGACTGCCATTAGATACGCCTTTACATGCAGTCAAATTGAATGTAGTAGCTGCAGTCAACACTTATATATACCGGTAGTCGACGGTGAACGTGAGGGCGCGCCGCACTGCCTCTCAGCAAGGTGAGGAAGACTCACTGACGAGATGAAAATACTTTTTTCTCAGTGAAAATGGTACGAATAGAATACAAGACAGTACAGTATATTTGTCTACAGTTCCGTCAACGCAATTGCTCTACCCAGTAACAAATCTTTGTGGATACAAATTAATTACCAATAGCAAGTTCGCAAGCACTTCAAGCATTCCATACCCACAGGCCAGTGTAGGGTTTTCCCGTTACTTCTTTGCAGAAACCTGGAATCTCGCGTCAGGCGATGACGCAACCTCATCATGTACCCCCGTGTCGAAACAATTGCCAACAAGTTTCGTGACGTCGCGCTGCCCGATGCTGTTGTCCGCATAGAGATGTGGAACAAAAGGCGGTATCACTAAGGGGCAATGCAGTTGCCTGGTCTCTTGGTTTGTGCGTTAAAGCAGCCAGATATTCGCAGCACGCTGTCTTTCAAGGTGCCACCCCTGCAGGATGGACCGAAAACATTTCCGTGTTGTGTTCATTGATCGCAAAAAAAAATCCCTCCAGATGGGCACCACGCAGCCGAGGCAAGCGTTCATGTAACTTGAAAAGAGCAGGCGGAGCTCGGGCAGCGCGGTGCGCGCACCTATTTCTGAGCAACCGTGCAAAGCTGTCTCGAGAAGAAAAAGCGAGACAAAGGCGGTTACATCGCATGTAACGCTTCAAAAACAACGAATGCCAGCAAAGCGCATTAAAAAAGACAGATGAAGGCGACCGCCTTCGCAGGCGATTTTGAGTTGCGTGGGGGTATGAGAGGAATTGCTTGGAAGGCAACATCGGTCGGTCATCAGTGCTTTAACTGTTTGTAGCCAGCCCTACCACGACAAACGATGCTGCTGCTACAACTGCTGCGGTGAAGAAGGAGTCTTCATTCGCAAGGGCATTTTCTGTGCTAGGTCCTCGCGGTGCTTGACCCCCGCAGAAAGGCAAATGGATCCACAGTTACCACTGCTGCTAGCGGTGCAGTTTTTGTTGATGTCGCCGTTGACTCCCTCATTACTGCTGGAGCTTGCCACGCCGTTGACGCTGCCGCCACTGGCAGTGGTGTCATTGCTGCAGTTGGTGTCGCTTGCCGATTGCGCAGATATCCCAATGATGGGAGCAGTCTTGTGCTGGTGCAGGGGCTGCGGTTGCTCTTGCATTGCCTGGGGCGTCCCGACTGTTTGGTCCTCACAACCTACAGGGTCGCTACCATCTATAGTGTAATGCATGCAACAGTCTGCGTCAACTCTCAAGCCCAGCTGGCGCATTCGGAGGTTGCCACCACCTGAAGCTGCCAGGCCGGAAAGCTCAATGTAGTGGGGCTTTCCGCCTACTGCATGCACAGCAGCACTCGGTACTCCCGCAGCTCCGTCGCCAGAAGTAGCTGCAGTACCGCCAGCACAAGTCACTTCCGGTGCAGCGAACAGTACTGAAGCCCCAGGTACCCGCAGAGCTACCCGCACGCGCCGCACGGATTCAGACGCCTCTGTAACTGCCGCTACCACCGAAGCCACGGCACAGTCGACCTGAGAATGTTTCGACGCAGCAGCAACACAACAAAAATGCAACGTCACACTGCACTGACGACGACACTGGAAACATCCGTACAAGCAGGAGCTGCAGCAGGATACGAGTTGCAACACCAACAACAGCGACAAAGACCATAACAAGAGCACAACATGTATTGTTTGGCATCTCTGTGCGTGAATGGATATAATTTCGGCTTTGCCTATACACAAATTTATGTTTGCATACTCTTTTTATTTGTAGTTCCCCCCTACCCCGCTTTTTTCTGCAGGTGGTGCCATTGCGTGGATCCCTTGACACATCCACTTCTCACAAGGAGCACTCCATTACAACCAAAAGCCCACAGCCCCACCCACTAACGATCCTCACCGGCGTGGCCCCTGAGATCTCGGCCATCATTCTTCTTGAGAAGAGCCTTGATCCTTGAGCGGAGCGGCTTCTGCTATTGCCTTTCTGCTGCAACTGGTGCTGCTCTTGCTGGTGAAGCTGTTGCGCAGCCGCGACGGCATGGTGGCAATTGGCTGCGAGGTGTATGGGCAGGTCTACTGGAGGGAAATCATAGAGGCCTTGGGGCTGCATGCGTAGCCTGGGCACGCAAGAAGGGCATGGCTTGAGGTGAGGAAAGGAGAAAACTGGAGCTGCAGGGCGGGGGCCAGGCGGCGTCAAAGAGACCTGAGGAGCAATACGACCACTCGCAGCTCTGCCGCTTCAAGCTATGCAATAGGTTCGTCTATATATATATATATA